GGAAAGCAGTAGATGATGACCTGAGTCCTTGGGCCCCTGCACTCATGTGGGAGACCAGGAAGAAGAATCGGCGCAGCTCTGACCATTGCGGCCAATTGGAGAGTGAGCCAGCAGATGGAAGACCTCTTTCTCTCTCTCTCTCTCTCTCTCTCTCTCTGCCACTCCTGTGTGTAACTATGACTTTCAAATAAATAAATAAATCTTTATAAACAAGAAAATGATCAGAAGTTTAGAGCTTCTTTAAAACAACATCGTAGCCAGTGCCACTGCTCACTTGGCTAATCCTCCGCCTGCGGCACCGACACCCCGGGTTCTAGTCCCGGTTGGGGCGCCAGTCCTGTCCCGGTTGCTCCTCCTCCAGTCCAGCTCTCTGCTGTGGCCCGGGAGGGCAGTGGAGGATGGCCCAAGTCCTTGGGCCCTGCACCCGCATGGGAGACCAAGAGGAAGCGCCTGGCTCCTGGCATTGGATCGGTACAGCACTGGCCATAGCGGCCATTTGGAGGGTGAACCAATGGAAGGAGGATCTTTCTCTCTGTCTCTCTCTCTCTCTCTCTCACTGTCTAACTCTGCCTGTCAAAAAAAAAAAAAAAAATTGTGACAAAAACTGTCTTTATTATGCAGTTATCGTGGTATAAGTGACTGTGTTCTTTGAAAATGTCATATTTTCCACACAAAAACTTATACATGAATATTCATAGCAGCATTATTTATAGTAGCCAAAAAGTGGAAACACCAAGTATCCATCACTGATGAGTGAGTTAATGAAATGTGGTACCTCCATGTATTGGAACCTTATTTTGTAATATTTTGTGAATATGCTAAAACTGTTTAATTGTACACATATGAATTATGTTTCAATAACACTGTTAAAAGGTTTTAAAGAAATTACTGAAAAAGAGTTCTTTTTGCTAATTGGAAAAACTGGATATTTACCCACTCTAATTTGATAATTTAGAAACCCAACTGTGGTATCACCTGCCTTAATCAGAAAACAATCAACAAATTGCTTCACAAAGTGTCATAGAGATACTAAAGGTTGATTTTTCAGAGAGAAAAGATTAGCCAAATTGAAAAGAGCTTGTTGGAAAAATAAATCTTAGCAAAAGGCAAAAGAATGGTAACATATAGTTTAAAGTAGAATTTTGAGCACTTACATGATCAGAAGTCCTTTATTCTGAAAATGAATATATTATTATATAATTATATATGATTATATTAAATTGTCATATAAGACATGACCCACTGCCCTCCAGGAGCTTAGGTGGAGCAGTAAGACAGGTTTGTGAATTAGCAGCCATAACATAGGATAATGGAAGTGTGTGTGTGCACAATAGAATACTATTCAGCCATAAAGAAGAATGAGGTCCTGTTATTTGTGACAACATGGATGTAACTGGTCATTAGGTTAAGTAAAATAAGACAGACACAGAAAAACAAATACCTCATGATCTCACTCATGTAGAATATAAAAAAGTTGATAGAATGTTGGTTACTAAAGGCTGGGGGAGAGAGGGAGAAAGCTGATGAGCTGGTGCTGAGTTGTGATTAAGAAAAATAAATCCTAGTGTTCTTTTGCACAGTAGGGTAACTATACATAAGGAGAATGTGCTGTGTATTTCAAAGAAGCTAGAAGGAAGTATTTTGAATATTTTCAAGAAGAAGTAATACATTTGAAAAGATAAATATGTTTCCACTGATTTTTTCAAAACTTTCTTGGCTCCTAGGTCTTTTTTTTTTTTTTAAGATTTATTTATTTATTTATTCTGGGCAGAGACAGAGAGATCTTCCATCCACTGGTTTGTGTCCTAAATGCAGGGGCCAGGGATGGTCCATGCCAAAGCCAGGAGCCTGGAACTCCATCTGGATTTCCCATATGAGTAACAGGGGACCCAGTACTCAGGCCAACTGCTGCTTTCCCAGGTGCATTAGCAGGGAGCTGGATTGGAAGTGAAGCAACCAGGACTCAAACTGGCACTCATATGGGATGCTGGAGCCATGAGCAGTGGCTTTCCTACAGCACCACAATGTCATCCCCTTACACTGATCTGAACATTACACAATATAGTTATGTTAAAATACCATGTTGAGCCAGCGCCGCCGTAGCTCAATAGGCTAATCGTCTGCCTGCGGCACTGGCACCCCAGGTTCTAGTCCCGGTCGGGGCGCCGGATTCTGTCCCGGTTGCTCCTCTTCCAGGGCAGCTCTCTGCTGTGGCCTGGGAGTGCAGTGGAGGATGGCCCAAGTGCTTGGGCCCTGCACCCGCGTGGGAGACCAGGAGGAAGCACCTGGCTCCTGGCTTCGGATCAGCACGGCGCGCCGGCAGCAGCACGCCGGCCACAGTGGCCATTGGAGGGTGAACCAACAGAAAAGGAAGACCTTTCTCTCTGTCTCTCTCACTGTCCACTCTGCTTGTCAAAAAAAAAAAAATACCATGTTGAACCCCATAAATACATAGAATTTTTCTGTGTCCATTAAACAAAACAAATATTTTATAAGAACACCAGTTATTGGCTTAGGGGGGGTCACAAAAACAAAACAATCATAATATAAAGATATACACAAGAGACATAGCACACAGATTGCATGTAAATAACAATTAGTCAGAGAAAGATTCTCAAAAAGGAATATTTTTAAGAACCGAAGGGAGATTGCTAAATGGAGTGTTGGTCAAGGGAACAGTATGTTTAAGTAGCAGTTAAAGCGTGAGATAAAATGACCCATTTAGGAAGTTGGAAGAATTTGAATGGCCAGAGTAAAAGAATAGTTGTAGGGAAAGTGATAGGAGATAAGGATAAAAAGGCACAGACCAGACCAAGAGGAGCCTTCTATTTTAAGTCAGAATAACTCTGGAACTTTTTCCCCTTTATTTGGGGTGACCTGAACTAGGAGATAGGCTTATCTTTAGGAAACCAGTAAGAGGTGTTTCAAAAAGTTCATAGAAAATGTATTTGATGGAAAAACTATACTTATATTTCAGAAAAAAAATTTTTGGTGTCAAATTTATAATTTCTCAGACTTTTTGAAGTAACTTTCATAGTTCTGTAATTCTCTGCCTAAATACAGAATTCATCATGGAACTGCTACAATTTTTTTTTTAAATCAGAAGTATTACATCCTCATTTATTCACTCTCTGAATCAACAGGGTATCTAGAAAAGCAGTGAGAGTGAGAACACTATCAGAGCCCTGGGATATGCTTAGATAACTGAAAACTGGATGATGAGGGATCCAAGACCCAAATCCCACCTCACCGTCTGCTTTCTCACTCCACTTCCAATACCAGCTTTGTCAGCTCAGATTCTCCAGTAAATAGACACCAAAAAGGAGTGAATTGTGCCAAATAGACCTGGAGGTGTAACTCACCCCATTGAGAAACTCTCGTGCAAATAATGTCGAGGAGTGCAGGGTTGGTCCTGGTATCGTGCTGTGCTCAGCTGTTGTAGGAGCTGCCCAGGGAGAGAGTGACTTCTGGTTGTGCGGGCAGCAGATCCCAAAGGGTTTGCAGCTGGAACCTGTCACCTACCCACACTCCTTGCGTTGGCCTCTTGCTGAGGGGAGAGCTGAGCAGTACACCTTCATGGCTGTCACGGCTTTATAATATGTTAATATGAATTTGGCATATTAATAAGAAAATTAATTCACAAGGCAAATATATGTCTCCTTTGCTGTTGTGAGATCCTTTGTCTTCATATAATTTCTAATCGGATAATCGTAGGTATATATATAAAAAGTTGATTTAAATTTTTTTTTCTATTTAGCTATGTTACGTTGAATTTTACTAGAGATTTTCAGGGGCAGGCATTTGGCACAGGAGTTTAAGAAACCACATGGGACTCTGCATCCCTGTTGGAGTGCCTGGGTTGAGGCTCAGCCCTTCTGCTTGGATCCAGCTTCCTGCTAATGTGTACCCTGGAGACAGTGATACCTAAAGAAGTTGAGTCCTCCCACACAGGTGGAAGACCCAGATTGAATTCTGGGCTCCTGACCTTTGCTGGCCCAGCCCTGCATGGTGCAGGCGTTCAGGAGTGAACCAGTAGGTGGAAGTTCTCCCTCTGGCACTTTTTCTGTTGTTTCTCTGCCAAGAATATCTGCAAGTCATAACGTCATCTGCAAATAATAAGGATTTTATCAACTATTCAAAAATGATGACTTTATGAAAATTATATAAATATAATACTGACCTATTGATCTGCAGTGTTATCAGTTTTTCTCTTAAGAAAGTGTCAAGTGTCCTGTTCCTGATTTATTTTTAAAAATAAAACAGAAGTGGAAATGACCTCCAATTTTATTTTATTGCTGACATATAAAATTTTTAAAAGATTATAGATGGGCTGGCACTGTGGCATAGTAAGTTAAACCTCTGCCTGCAGTGCTGGCATCCCCATATGGATGCTGGTTTGTGTCCCAGCTGCTCCTCTTCCTAGCCAGCTCTCTGCTAATGGCCTGGGAAGGCAGTGGAGATGGCACATGTGCTCCTAGCTTCAGATCGCCCAGCTCTGACCTTTGCGGCCACTTGGGAAGTGAACCAGCAGTACCAGATTAGTCCTCTGCTTGTGACTCCAGCATCCCTCATTGGAGCTTCAATTTGAGTCCCAGCTACTCTGCTTCTGACCTAGCTCCCTGCTAATGTACCTGGGAAAGTGGCAGAAGATGACCCAATTATTTGGGCCTATGCCACCCATGTGGGAGACTAGGATAAGTTCCTGACTCTGAGCGTTGCCTGGCTCAGACCCAGCTGTTGGGGCCAGTTTGGGGAGTAATATGGAAGATATCTCTCTCTTTCTCTCTCTCTCTCTCTGCCTCTCTCTCTCTCTCTCTCTCTCTATTTCTCTCTGTTGCTCTACCTTTCAAATCAATTGGTAAATCTAAAAGAAAAAGAATGAAAGAGCAGAGTCAACTAATTGGTGGCAATCTGCTTTTTGGCTACTAACTGATTGCCTCATTTTCTAGCTGTCAGTTTTAACTTTTTTTTTTTTTAATTTTTGTCTCTTTTTCTCCCAGAGATAAGATTTCAATTTCCACAGCTGACTGGTGTGCTTACCCTTGCTTTCTTTATTCATAATTGCATTATCACACTCCTGAAGAACAACAAGAACCAAGAAAACAACGTGAGTACTTATCTGAGTACTTGACTTCTGTATCTGCTGAGCGTAGATTTTTTTTCTTGAGTCAGTATTTGAGGCATTTTGTATTTGGAGTACAATTATGAATGTTACAGAGTCTTAGTTTTTAAACATCAGCCATAAAGCAGTGGTCAGCAAACTGCTTCTATAAAGATTCTGGTGACAAATATTTTAGGTTTGATAGCCCATATGGTATTTGTTACAACTACCCAACTGCTGTGTGCGCAAAAGCAGCCATAGACAATAAGTAAACAAAGCATGGTAGCTGTGTGTGTGTTTTAAAGATTTATTTATTTTATTTGAAAGGCAGAGTTATAGAGAGGCAGAGAGAAAGGGAGGGAGGGAGGGGTCCTCTATCTGCTGGTTCACTCCCCAGATGGCTGATCAGGAGCCAGGAGCTTCTGGGTGTCTGGGTCTCCCATGTGGGTTCAGGGGCCCAAGGACTTGGGCCATCTTCTACTGTTCTCCCAGGCCATAGCAGAGAGCTGAATGGGAAGCGGAGCAGCCGGGACTCGAACTGATGCCCACATGGGATGCTGGTATTGCAGGCAGAAGCTTCACTCACTACGCCACAGTGCCAGACCTATGGCTGTGTTTTAATAAAAGTTTATTTACCAAAACAAGTGGCAAACCATATTAGGCCCATGGGCCATAGTTTGCCAGCCCTTGCCAAACAGCAACTGCTAAAAAAATAAAGAGGTATAGCTAACCAGCCAATAATAAAATTATAAAGTTCTTTTAAAAAATATGAGCTAGAAGAAGACAGGGAGAAGAGAGCAAAGAATAAGAGAGACAAATAGAAAACAAATAGCAAGGTAGTAGATTTAAACACCATCATATGATAATTCCATCAAATGTAAGTGGTCAAAACATTACAATTAAAATGCAGAGATTGGGGCCAGTGTTTTGGCACAGAAGTTAAGTTTCTACCTGCAGTGCTGGTGTCCCTTATAAGCACTGCTTTGAGTCCCAGCTGCTCCACTTCCAATCCAGTTCCCTATTGATGTGCCCCGAAGGGCAGCAGAAGGTGACCCAGGTGCCTAGGCCCCTGACATCCACATGGGAGACCCAGAATGGAGTTCCTGGCTCCTGGCTCCTGGCCTCCAGCTCCAACTGTTGTGGTCATTTGGGGAATGAACCTACAGGTGAAAAATCTCTTTCTCTCTCTGCCTTTCAAATAAATAAATCTTTTTTAAAAAATGCAGAGTTGACCAGATGGACTTAAAAAAAAAAAAAAAAAGCCTTACAATATGCTATCCATAAGACTTAGACATGGGGCTGGCACTGTGGCGTAGTGGGCTAAGCTTCCACTTGCGGCACCAGCATCCCATATTTGGCACCAGTTCGAGTTCTGGGCTGCTCTTCTTCCAGTCCAGCTCTCTACTATGACCTCGGAAAGCAGTGGAAAATGGCCTAAGTGCTTGGGCCCCTGCACCCGCATTGGAAACCCAAAAGAAGCTCTCTGTCTCCTGGCTTCAGATCTGCCCAGCTCCAGCCTTTTGCAGCCATTTGGGGAGTAAACCAATGGATGGAAGACCTTTCTCTCTGTGTCCCCCCTCCTCTCTCTGTAACTCTACCTCTCAAATAAATAGATAAAATCTTTAAGGGGCCAGCACAGTGGCGCAGTAGGTTAATCTTCCTGTGGCGCCGGCATCCCATATGGGCATGCTGGTTCAAGACCTGGCTGCTGCTCTTCCAATCCAGCTCTCTGCTGTGGCCTGGGAAAGCAGTAGGAGATGGCCCAAGCCCTTGGGCCCCTGCACCCACATGGGAGACCAGGAAGAAGCTCCTGGCTCCTGGCTTCGGATCGGCGCAGCTCCGGCCGTTGCGGCCATTTGGGGAGTGAATCAACAATGGAAGACCTTTCTCTCTGTTCCTCCCTCTCACTTTCTGTAACTCTGCTTCTCAAATAAATAAATAAAATCTTTAAAGAAAAATAAAATAAAATCGTCAAAAAAATGACTTAGACATACCATGTAAATGCTAAACCCAAGAAAGATAGAGCAACTATATTAATATCAGGTAAAGTAGACTTCAGAATGAGAAGTAGTACCAGAGGTAAAAAAAAAAGAGCATTACATAATGCTATTTAGGATCAGTTCTTCAAAAAGAAGTAATAATCCAAAATGTTGGGGCAGGCATTTTGGTGTAGTGGATTAAAGCACTACTTGGGAATCCTGCATCGCATGTCAGAATGCCTGGGATGGAGTCATAGCTCTGTTTCCAGTCAAACTTCCTGCCAATGTGCACCCTGGGAGGCAACAGAAACACAAGAACATTTAACAAAATACACCATATGCTGGGTCATAAAACAAGTCTCAACACATTTAAAAGGATCAGAATTATACAAGGTATGTTCTTCAGTCATAATGGAATGAAGTTCCAAATCAACAACAGAAAGAAATTGGGAAATTGACAAATAATATGGAAAGGAAATAGCATACTTCTTTTTTTTTTAAGATTTTTTTTATTTATTTGAGAGGTAGAGTTACAGACAGTGAGAGGGAGAGACAGAGAGGAAGGTCTTCCATCCACTGGTTCATTTTCCAGATGGCTGCAACGGGCTGAGCCAAGCCAATCCAAAGCCCGGAGCCCGGAGCTTCCTCTGGGTCTCCCACGAAGGTGCAGGGGCTCAAGCACTTGGGCCATCTTCCACAGCCTCTGAGAGCTGGATCAGAAGAGGAACAGCCAGAACTAGAACCAGCACCCATATGGGATGGCAGCGCCACAGGCAGAGGATTAACCTACTGTACCACAGCACCGGCCCCCTAAACAGCATACTTCTAAGCAAGTAGTGAGTCAAAGAAGAAATCCCAAGAAAAATTAGAAAAGCCTTCTCAGTGGAGAAAAGTTAGGTCACAAATTGGAGTAAGAATATGTTAAACTATTCCATCATCATCTTTCCTGACCATACATCTGGCATGTTACCTGTACATTGGAGTTGAGTAACTGGATTTTCCATATTTCTTTACGTCGAAATTCATTTTCTCCCTATGTAAAAATAGCAGTAATAATACCTACTTGTCAGGGTTAAATGAGAATTAAATATTATAAAATAGGAAACATGTTTTTAGTCTCTTTAATCCTCTTTCCCTTTCTTTCCTGAGACCAACCTAGATCATAGTACCCCCCAAATTCAGGATTTGTATGAATTGGATCATTCTATCGTTAAGGTCTTCCTAATAACAGAGAACAACCTCATATACCTGAGTCACGGGGGAAAGAATTGCAGTTTTATTGAAATCTAAATTTTAACCTGAACGCTCCTATGTTTTTTTTTTTATTCCTAGTCATAACTAGTTTGTCTTCCTAGAAAACAGTCTCAAAACAATGAGCTAAAAATGACAGGCAGTTCTCACAATACGTGATTCCTTTATGCACAAATTTCTATTACTGTGCCTTAGTTAAGTTGCATCAGTAGCCTCTAACAATGTGATGCAAAATTCAGTTAGCACAGCATTTGAGCCATGAACACTCACATAAAGTAATAACTGCTAATCCTTCATTTTACAGATCATAACAGAAATAACAGGTATACATCATGATTAGTGAGCAGTCACATCACTACTCAAAATACTGTCAGTGATTGATCACTGTGCCTTACTCACTTACCACGTGGTCTGCAAAGCAAGCAGTTGTATTGACTCCTTATCTCTGGGTGATAAAACAGGTGATATTTTACCAATGTAGTTAATTGAAAGAGGAAATTGGCAAAAAAAAAATGCTTAAATGCAACAATGAAACATAATAATACTGGAAATGAAATTTCAACAAAACATAAGAAATAGCTTACAATTGTATCCAATTGTAGAAATATAATCTTATCAGTATAGATTTGGAAAGTGGTTGTGATGAAGAGAAAGAATATGGCCTAGAGAAAACAAGACTCTCAGGAAACTACATTAAAAGAATTCTGAGACAATTCACAGCATTCATAGCACAAAGAATGAAATAATAGAAGCTGATGCGGAGTTAGAATCAAATAGTACGGCAATTCACCAAGGCGTGGACAAGAGGCTTGATCCATATAGTGAGTACCAGAGTGAGAAAGGGGCATGGAGAGCAGAGGTTAATGTTGGTAATGGTTAGTCATTCCAAACTCAGTAAACAAAGCTTTGAAAGGAGAAAACAAAAGAGTGGAAAAGGCTTCCTTCTCTTCTGTTTAAATTATGATCTAAAGATATCTGTGCAGAGAGAATAATAAGGCTCCTGAACAGGTGTAGTGATCATTTTCCAGGTTTCCAAGTTCAACTTACTATTTTATCTACACATAATTTCTCCATGGCTCATGTCAGTAGATGGGAAATCATTTCTACAGTAAGGCATCACTTACCAAAAAAATGTAACATAAAGGGATTAAACATCATCCAGCTCCTTCCTTATTATCAGATTATGTAGTCTCTGTTGCTCTTCTGAATATGTGAATTGACCTCTTGATATTTCTTTACTGTGTTTGAACCAGAACTTGTACAGTATTTTGTTGTTAGTTGGTTTAATTTATGTTTTTCTGTCTTTATTTAATTATATTCCTCTGCTTGCTTCTTTAACAACTTGAGGTACATTCTAATGTGTTACTTTTTCCATCTTCATATGCATCTGAAGTTCACCTGGCTGTACACCAACACAAGCTTCTATGTGCCTGTCTGGGGTAGAACTGTGTGGTCAGTTTCTGTGTTTCTGTTAGTAATGCTCCCCTGGATAGTATTTTCACTGTGAACAGAGCATGGAACAAATAATAAACTACGCTTGACAAACAGAAAGTGGCTCCCAGACCCACTGCTGGCCCTACTGTAAACCCAGTACTTGTTCTGAGTCGACATTCTGTCTTTGGATCCCCACTACCAACCCTGCCAGCCACTGCTTGTTCCCGAGGCTTGACGTATTACCAGTTTATACTGTCACTTGTGTCTCTTTTTAAATATAATTTATGCTTTGAGTCACATTTTCTAAAAGATGGTTTTGTTCTAGAAACCTTTTCCCATTCAGTGGGCTTTCAGGAGGCCTTACGTGTAGGCCTAGTACGGAGATGGCTTGGATTTGAGCCAGAGAATAGCAAATCCCACATATGTACATGCTGTTCACAGGTGGCATGTTTGCCAGGATCATGCTAAACCTCAGCTGCTTTAATGAAAGCATTAATTCTGTTTGCTAGAATATTTTCAGATGAAAACAAGTAACTGACCCTGTTCTACTGATTGTTATGTTGCAGTATATAAAACAGAGTTTTTCTGGTTTTAGTATTTCTCTAGCTTCTCTCTGTGTGCTATCTTTTATGCTTTGTTACTTTTATTTTTTCCCCATTATTGTTGTCTGTTATCTGGGACACGATGCATAGGAATCTGGTCTGCTCTCCATCGTCTTGGCTAAGGACATACAATTTGGAACTAAAAGGCCTTTATGAAAAAATTATTTATTTACTTAAAAAGAGAGACAGACATAGACAGGGACATAGACACAGACACAGAGAGATCTTCTATCTGCTGGATTAGTCCCCAAATGCCCACAACAATTCAGGGCTGTACCAGCCAGAGGACAAGAGCCCCAAGCTCAACCTGGATTTTCCATCTGTGTGATAAGGACTCAGCTACTTGAGTTATAACCTGCCTAATGCACTCTACCCCAATGCTGGCCTCTGGCTTACTTTTATAATAAAAAATAATGACATTCACAATACAGCATAAGAGGTACTGTTTCGAAGTATGTGTACAGTGCTATAGGACAGGAAAGCAGAAGGGAAAAGATTTTATTATGTCTTATACCTTATAAACCTGTGGACTTTAAGTCTCTATCAAAGTTCCCCTAGAATGTGCTAAGCTACAAAGACCAAAATAATGTGGTTCAGTGTTGTGTAAGCTAGACTCTGTGGAATGGTGGCTGTCTTCTGTACATACAGCTCTTTCTGGCATGGTTGTTTTGCCTACCAATATTTTTTACAAGGCTACTTCTGTTCTAAAGTGGCATTGAGTGAGTAGGTTGAGGGTGGAGTGACTTTCAAACATCATTATAGGATTCTACTACCTTTGATATGAAAATAGGCATTGCCTGGATCATTTCTGTTCATCCCACACAAGAACGTGAGGCACTCAAGAGCTGACCGTTAAGACAACCTTAAAACAGCCCGCGGTGGGCCCTAGAGTTGCATGACCTAAAGAGGAAAGGTTTGGAAATCCTTCTCCTGGATATTCAGTCATCCTCTCTCCTCAGCTCTAAACAATGAGAAGTTATGTGGGCGGGCTCGAGCCAACTTTTGTAAACCTTTGGCTCCGTAGTCCTAACCATCATCTAATTTAGGGCATGAAATCGTTGGTTTATTTTCAAACAGATTGTCAACTAAGAGCTGATTCTAAGATTTCTCATAGCTAGTTATTTGCTTTTTAACCAAATTTATATTCAAGATTATAAAACTCTGCTGCTGTTTTATCCTATTCAAGGAGGAAATATTTCCCAAAACTCAGAAATGTCTTCTAGTGCTAAGTGTCTAATGTTTTCATTGTGTTATCAAACTAAAAAATTGTGTATAATTTTTGTCTACTCTGTTTTCCTAGCTTTCAAAATAATTTGTGTTTAAAATGAAAAATGAATAGGCTTATTGCCATAATTTACTGATGCTGCATTGTTTGGCTGTAACTGTAGTGGTGAAGGAGATGATTTGTAAGCAGTGGAATCTCTTCTGTTTGGATCTGACAGCTGGCTGCATTAAGTATCTTGGAGCTTTGCATGGAGATGGGAGGGTGGGAACAGCAGTGGAAGAAAGCAGTCCACTTTATTTAATGTTCTGCGTTTGTTTGCTGACTCCAGTAACAACATTTTGCAGCTGTTTGAACAGCTGTCTTTTGATTTCCCTTTATTTATTGTTTAGGTTTGTTAAGCTTATGTTTAATACCTACTTATTGTTTGCTCTTTAACTATCTTTCCTTTTATTATTAAATATATTTTAATGTGTTCCCCTCTCTTGTGGCCTACATGTGCTTTGATGATAGAGGTTAATTTACTAAAGGGAGAATTTTTTAAATTTTAACAGTCAAGCAGTAAGTAGGTGGCTTATACTTATTTTCTTTCTGTCCCTCATCTTTATAATTGTAGATAACTATTTTATAATATAATAAATAAATTACCTTTTGAAATTAAGTCAGAATTTTGATCATGTTAAACCACTGTTTATATTAATGTCCTACATCTGCCAGCAGGTAGCTTAGTCTTGATACCCCAAACTAGTGTTTCTTAAAAATTGGCAGATTATTTGTAAATGCATGTGGATTTTGTTTTAACTACTTTCTGTGAACAGGTTGGGTATCTAGAAAGTAAAACACATACACAAAGTAAGAAGATAAATTTTGCACTTATCTGTTGGGCTTCTTATTTAACCTATTCAAGTAGCCTTACTGCAGATTTCTTCAATGTTATAGAAATTGTATTCTGTACTTACAGGTGAGAGATCTATGCATTGCTTATATGTTGGTGACATTAACTTATCTGTATATTGGAGCTCTGGTTTTTGCTTCATTTCCTTCACCACCATTATCAAAAGATTGTATTGAGCAGGTAAGGCACTGTGTACCCTTTCTGTGTGGTTACCTAAATGTTCGTAAATGCATAGTAGGCAGGATAACCCAGTAGCACAATGACCATACCAGCAGGCCTGGGTTTGAATACCCTCTCCACTGCCCACTCTAAGTGTGAGAATGAAAGCCCCTTCTCCACCCTTTCTGAGCTTCGGCTTCCTTTTCCATTATACTGTAGGATAAAATTCATTATGTTTTAGATAACATTGCATGCAGGCACCTTATGGCAAATTATTCTTGTGATGTATATATATTTCTCTTACAAGTAGTTCTCATGAACTTATAAAACCTCCACTGAGCATACATTGAACTCCCTTATTTCCCAAAGCCCAGATGTGGAAGTACTATGGGTAAACTTGGGCCATGCACCCACTTGGGAGACCAGGAGAAGCACCTGGCTCCTGGCTTTGGATCAGCACGGTGTGCCGGCTGCAGCAGCCATTGGAGGGTGAACCAACAGAAAAGGAAGACCTTTCTCTCTGTCTGTCTCTCTCTCACTATCCACTCTGCCTGTCCAAAAAAAAAAGAGAGAGAGATACATAGAGATAAAAGGAAAAAGCAATCTTTGGGGGCCAGCATTGTGGTGCTGTGGGTTAAGCCCCCACCTGTGGTCGCCATTCCATTCCAGTGCTGGTTTGAGTCATGGCTGTCCCACTTCCCATCCCTGCGAATGTACCTGGAAAAGCGGTGGATGATGGCACAAGTCCTTGGTCTCCTACCACCCATGTGGGAGACCCGGAAGATTTCCAGGCTCCTGGCTTTTACTTAGCCCAGCCCCAGTCACTGTAGCCATTTGGGAAGTGAAGCAACAGATGGAAGACCTCTCTGTCCTTCCCTCTCTCTCTGTACTCTGCCTTTCAAATAAATAAAATAAATCTTTGGGGGGAAAAATCTTACTGAAAGGTTGCCATAGGTAACAATTTCTTTGATTTAACCCATGAAAATTAGGAGGAGTACTCATATAATCTCTAGTTTAATGTGACCAAAAACTTCTCTTTCTATCCCTGCCTCCCTTCCTCCCTCCCTGCCTCCCTCTCTCTCTCCCTCCCTCCCTCCCTCTCTCTCTCCCTCCCTCTCTCTCTCTCTAACACACACACACACACACACACACAAAAGAGCTTTTCACAAGTGGCTTTTCTAGTCATAAGAAATTCCTCAAATAGAGTACAGTGGAATATACAATGTGACTTATTACAGCCAAATTATAATGGTATTCTCATCTTCATGAGAGAAATGGGACTGAGTTACTGCTGTTATGATAACTTGAAATGTTCTTATAGTCTTGATTTCCTTAATTCCTTGATTCCAAAGGTTTGCTGAAAATTTCCCCAGTACAAAAAAAAAATCTCATATAAAGCCCACTTCTTTGGGGATAGTAATATTTGTAGTGTTTATATTTGAAAGGGAAAAATAAAAATTCTGAATTATTAGCTTTGTTTTTGTTACCAAACTAAAATAGACAAAAGAGCTATGAAAGGACATAGAAATAAATCCTCGCTATTTAGTGATAGACTGTAAATGGTAATGGCACCTTCACCTTCCTCTGTTCCCTTGACTTTGAAAGCACTACAGTACTTTGAAAGAAGAAAAGCAAAGAGCTAATGAGCATGAAATAGCACTGAATTTATGTAATCATTTAAGTGTATTAAAACAGATTTGAGTGTTGTGCTTGAGTCCACCAGGGAGTATGCTGCTCAGTCTGTCTGTGGTGAAGTTCAGGATTGTCTTTGTTGTTGTTTTAATGTCAAGGCTGTCTGAGACTGCGGTTGAAAAACAGAATAAAAATGTGGCATTGTCAGATTTCTATCAAGTTTCTAAGCACTTGTGAGTCTGTACTTACCTCATTGGAAGATAGTTAACCTGCAGTTTGTGGGTGGGCACCAGCCCACGAGCCGCAGTTTGAATAGCACCTTTGTTCAAAATAAGCAGTAAATGTTCCGTTTTACGAACTTGTGCTGAGTTAGATTGCTGACATTACCTCATTATCTTTCTTGCGATAGAACTTTTTAGACAACTTCCCTAGCAGTGACACCCTGTCCTTCATTGCAAGGATGTTCCTGCTGTTCCAGATGATGACGGTATACCCACTCCTAGGCTACTTGGCTCGTGTCCAGCTATTGGGCCATATCTTCGGTGACGTTTATCCTAGGTAAGGGCTCTTCTCTTGACCAGCAAGATGTGCCAAGCAACAAATGACTGTGCAAACAGGTCAGTTTAAAGTGTGACTGATCCTTTTGCTATAAAAATTTGCCTAATGAAAATGGTTACTAAGGATAGATCATGGATGTCCTGTTCACCTGAAGAGTTTTAAAAATAGAAGGCACTCCCTTGTCCAGAATGATTTAGCACTCATTCTTTCCAGCGTGGTTAATCAGCTCTGACAACAGTTATATTTATCTTATGATTCCGTGGCTATTAATCTACACATTGCTAAGAAGCTCATAGTGTATATATAGTACCTCTGTTGGCATGTGTTTCTAATGAGAAGCAGCACTTTTATTTTAATTATTGGTCACTGGTACTTGTATATTTATTAACATTTGTGCATTTTTACATAAATTATCAGTTGTTTAGAATTGAAGATGAGAAGTTTAAGTTCTTATTTAATGTAGAGCCAGCTTGAATTATTATTGTAAGTCTTAACTTCTTACTGAAGATGGAAGAATTGTGAACCCTTTTAAAAAATCTGTTGAAAGCTATTACCCTTATCCAAGAAAAATACCCATGCCTCATTTTAGAATTTCCCTGGAGCCTTCTCAGGAACCCTGGGTTATCCTCCTCTTATGTTAAGTTTTATTACAGGTTCACCCTAGTGAAAAATACCTAGCCCTATATTATTGGGAATAAATTACTTTAAATGAAAAAAATTTTTTAATTTTTAAAATTATTTTAATGAATGAAATATTGTATTTACAGTAACCAAATAAGCAAATGCTCTTCCTCAGTGTTTGTTTGAAGTGAGCTGATGTAGCCTGTACCCTCAGTAGATATTTTCAGCTGTAAATTGAGTCTCAAGGTTGCTAGTATTGATAGAAGCAGCAGCTAGTTCTGATAGTGCTCATCTAGAATACTGGAGTTTAGTAAATATAACTCCTGTTATATTTATACCGTGTGCTATATTTATAGTTAACAAAGTAAAATAAATATAGGGAAGTTAAGGATGAGAAAATTCTAGGCAAATGTTATTTTTTTCCTGCCACTGTTTTGCAGAATGGAGCTGTTAGAATTTTTTTCTTCTTGGAAAAAGTCTGGGATATGCCTTCTGTGTTCGTACTACACTCTTCCCTGACCACAAGAACACCTTTAAGTTGTCTGTTACAAGTACTCCAAAGATGCATTCTTTGGAACACACTGTTTGACCTCAGGCCACCTGTATATTCTTAAAATTGCTGGAGTATCTCTTGGAGCTTTAGTTTGTGTGGCTGTGTCTGTCACTATTTAACATTAAAATCAAAATGGAATAAAGTATATATTAATTTGTTTGAAAACCAATGAAACCATTACTTGTTAACTTAAATAACATTTTTATGAGAAATACCAACTTCCAAAAGGTTTTTTGGTTTACACTTTGAAAACTCGGTAATGTCTGCTTTGCTAGTAGACAGTTGGATTCTCTTCTCTGCGTCTGCATTCAAGCTTTCATATGCAGCTTTTATTTAATATGTTAAGAACACCCACTCTCACATGCATACATAGTTGAGAAAAGAAGGGGTACTTTTAAGGCCTTTTAAGAGAATTGTGGATCTTTTTTTCTGATACCATGTTAACACTTCGTTGTGATGTGGAATCTGAGACTTGGTTACATTAAAACTGATTGTTGCTCTGTTTGCACCCATGCATGGTTTTGGAACATCGTGTCTAGTCATTCAGAAAACACCGCTTCACTGAGGCCTGTGGATCTTCCAAGTATATACACATTTCAGTGCAGACTACCAGCCCACACGCACTCATATCACCACCAGTTTCAACACACAAGTCATTATATATTGGAAAACTGTCAAGCTCAGAGTGACAAGTACAAATTCTCCAAAATTCCAGTCTTTTTCTGAAAGTTAAATTTTTTTTATTATTGGCAACTGCCAGTTGCTTTCCTTGAAGTGACGCTCATATCATTCATTTTAGGGGAATGTCTGTCAAACACCCAAGTTTAAATTACTGTAGCATGTCTGCATTTCAAGTAAAAATAGTATTTATTAGGAAAAACAGAAGGTTAGCCTTCAGCTCCACCACACGAGTACTTTTCTCAAGACAACCATTGTATACCCATGTGCAACCGATGTGCCGCCTTATGTCCTTCACATTGGAGCACATAAAATGCTGAAAAGCTCTTTATTCACAATATGAGATATAATAAAAGCAGGGAGTTTTATCCCTTTATCAAGGACTTATTTTTTAAAACTTTATTTATTTATATGAAAGAGTTAGAAAAGGAAAGGTAGAGAGAAAGGTCTTCCATCTACTGGTTCACTCCCCAATTGGCTACAATGGCTGGAGCTATGCCAAACCAAAGCCAGGAGCCAGGAGCTTCTTCCGGGTCTCCCACGTGGGTTGCAGGGGCCCGAGGAGTTGGGCCATCTTCTACTGCTTTCCTAGGCCATAGCAGAGAGCTGGATGGGAAGTGGAGCAGCCAGGACTTGAACAGGAGCCCATATGGGATACTGGCGCTGCAGGCAGTTGCTTTACCAGCTGTGCCACAGCACTGGCCCCTCAAGGACATTTTCAGTGAATTTTTTTTCTTTTGAGAATATCTGGCATTGAAGAGTATAGTGTAGAACACAGACATAGGTGCAGCTAACTGCCATGACCCATGTTAAGAAGCCAGGGGTTGGCCGGCGCCGCGGCTCACTAAGCTAATCCTCTGCCTTGCGGCACTAGCACACCGGGTTCTAGTCCCAGTCGGGGCGCCGGATTCTGTCCCGGTTGCCCCTCTTCCAGGCCAGCTCTCTGCTGTGGCCCGGGAGTGCAGTGGAGGATGGCCCAAATACTTGGGCCCTGCACCCCATGGGAGACCAGGAGAAGCACCTGGCTCCTGCCATCGGATCAGCGCGGTGCACTGGCCACAGTGCACCAGCCGCAGCGGCCATTGGAGGGTGAACGAACGGCAAAGGAAGACCTTTTTCTCTGTCTCTCTCTCTCACTGTCCACTCAGCCTGTCAAAAAAAAAAAAAAGAAGAAGCCAGGGGTTTTACTGCCATTGCTTTTACAAAGTAAATAATGTCGTATTATTTTGAAAATAACTTTTATCTCAAGGACTTCCTGGAAGGGTATTAGGAAGTCCTTGTGCCTTATGGTCATACTTTAATTACCACTACTTTAAAAATACATAAAATTGCTTCCTTTGGTGATACAGAAATAACAAAGACCCAGCCAGTGTCTTAAAGCTCTGAAGCATTTAAGGTTGGAGTTTCTAGATAAATAATAAGATCTGGAAACCTAATATTTTTGAAAGTCTAGCCACTTATTTGTGTAAATTATTTTCTTTGTTTCTAATTCTGCTTGTCATCTTTATCTGGGATTAACTAAACTAGTAACTTGGTCCCAGAGGGTTACTTAGATGTATCTGTTTACATTTTGAGAATCAGTCTAGAGAGAAATGGAATTACTTCTTGAGTATCAAACTTTATCTACATTATTTATATCCAAAAAGAATTCCCAAACTTTAATTAATATCTAATTAAATTATTTAGTAAATATTCTATTTATGGTAAATAGTGACCAGATTCAGTTGGTTAAATTTGGAAAATAAAGACCTACCCACTTCACTCTTTCCTTAATATATTTTTATTATAAAAGCAAAATAAATACTTTACAGAAAGTGCGTTGTAGAAAAGAAGAAATACTACCCCAAATTGTAATACAGTTGCTGCAGTCTTTCTATGTATTTCCTTCTGCTGTTTTCAAAAATGTTTTTAGTTGTTTTGTTTTTTGTTTTTTGTTTTTTGCCGCCATGAAAATACAGCTAGCTTTATTCCAAGTTGCCTGGTTGATTTTTTAGCATCGTATTTTAAATACACTCTGCCAGTTAGCTGTTGCCTTGTGTGTATCTAGGATTCTTCTGTTTTCCCACAGATATCTTTATGTTAATAGCTTTTTTCATGGTTTTGATTTTCTTAAGATATCCCAAATGGACTTGTGCATTAAGGAATATGAACTTTGATGCCCACTACCAGTTTTTTCATACAAAATTTAATCTACTTATGTAACTGAATGAAAGGGCTGACATCAGTATCTCATCATCATCATCGAGTACTGTTGTTGCCTTCTATTTTTTTACTGTTGTCAGGCTTTAGACATGCTCATTTTAAAGTTAATAAATTGTATTCTTATATTAGTGTTACAATGTGCCTATTTTTAGTTTTATTTTTTTTTTCTTTCCTCTAAACTCTCAACGTCTAGCATTTTCCATGTGCTGATTCTTAATCTGATTGTTGTGGGAGCTGGAGTGAGCATGGCCTGTTTCTACCCAAACATAGGCGGGATCATAAGGTACTGCGGCGAGGGAACTGGACTCCTTCCTATTCACTGTTGGGTGTTTCCTGTTGTTGTAGTTATTGCTTTAATTTAATTGTATAAAATTCCTGTGAGTATTAAGAGCAGGTAACATTCAAATGTAGTTCCCAATATAAAGTACTCATTGTCTTCCATTTCTTTTTATTCCTACTAGAGAACTGACTGTAGGAGCCCATTATCCCTTAGCCTCAGCTACCTTTCCCTTTCTTTTTCTTATCCTCTTCTGCTATATTTCCTTTCTTTTCATCCAAAATAAAGTTATTTTAATATATCAGTGTATAACTTCTTGGGAGTACTGGAAGATCCATTATATGTTGAGGCTATGTCCCAACTTTCTTAATCCATTTCTACTCAAAAATATATTTCAGTGTCAATCGTAAGTAGAAAATAAGAGTGTAAGTAAGAGTTTTAGTTTGCTGAGGGCTCTTTCCAGAATATTCTTTACTTTGGAAAGTTGTGACAGGTTGAATAGAATGGGAATAAAATTGTGACCTCAGATTCTTATGAGAAACTGGGGTTTTGATTGATTTGGTTTCATTTCCCTAATGTAGACCCTTAACTAAGAAAGAAACAAGAAGGGAGATTATTAGCCTGATCTTTGTTGATATAATGGACTCACAAGTTCATATTAAGCCATTCTGCAAGAAAAGGCGAGTACAAGAAAGGGAGAAGACAGTGTTTCTCCACCGCAGTCTCATGTTTAGGTATTTCTGTTACTGTCTTTGATAATTACGCTGAGACACTCATCTGTTCTCATTCTTAAACAGATGTTAACGGTCCCTCAGAAACTCAGAATGTATAATTAATTTATAAAAGATCAAAGGTAGGAAGCCTATCTCCAGATGTTTCTGAATAAATCGCCACAGTCACTTAGATGTGGAGGGACTATGGCGATTTGAGAGATGAATGAAAACTCTTTGTCAAGCAGATGCTATAAAGATGAGCAGGAAGTAATATTTTATGTTAACTTAGCAAGAAAAATCAGTTTTAAACCCAAATGTTTCAGGTCTGTTACAGTATCAGACTGAGGACGATTTGAATTACACCCTATTTACCTTAATTGTAAATCGGAAAAAGGAAAATCAAGATGAATGTTAATGCCCAAAGCTCTTGTTTTGCAGATACTCAGGAGCAGCCTGCGGCCTGGCCTTTGTGTTCATATATCCATCTCTCATCTACATCATTTCCCTCCAGCAAGAAGAACGGCTGACATGGCCTAAGTTAATCTTTCACATTTTCATCATCATCTTGGGCCTGGCTAACCTGATTGTTCAGTTTTTTATGTGAAATACTCATCTGTTTTCTCAAGATCGTTCGTGGTGTTTTGAGCCTTGACAACAGTTCTACATCAATTCACTTATCAATGCCGTTGTTACCCTAATTCCAAGTGTTTTTCTAAGATAACCTGAAAGCAAGGAAAGTAGTGGTTGACTAATAAATATTTCTGAGTGGGGCAGGAGGGGCACTAAGAAGGATCTGAGTCTCTCTCTTCCTTGTATTCGCTCACCTCTTCATTCTCATTGTCTTTTCTGGTAGGATTGTGTGTCCTAGGAGGAAGTCCTGCTGGGTTTTGCTTTCAGAGAGGGGAAGTGGGTAGATGTATCTGGCTACAGTGAAGACTCAGGTGTCACAGCAACATGTTGCCAAATCCTGTTTCTGTTTTATACTTCATAGATTCACTTCATTTTCTTATTTGCTAGCCCATTTCCACAGTTTGCTCAAGTCACTACTGTTTGGCACAGTAAACCAAATACCTCATTTTAAAACGAAGTTTTTATGACCTAAGTGTCAACAGAGTGAATTCTTAATTGAGCCTCTATTAGAAAAAAAAAAAATTTTTTTTTTAAATTGTCAGTATAGACCTCATGGTCATGACACACGTGCAAAATAAAAATAGTTTGCTGCTGTTCAGTTCCTCTCCTATTTCTAATCCAACATCAGTGACGTAGGAGTTCAAACCTATACGCTGAATTTTGCATAGGAACAAAAATGTCCCTATAGACACAGGGGGCTCTTTTACTTTTTGGGTCGCAGAGCATTGCTAGGCTGTCAGGACAGGCCCATCGGGGAAACATGGCAGAGGAACCAGAGTGTGAGGCCCTCCAGGGGAGAAAAGGGTGGAGACGTAGCCAGGGAGGGTGGAGCCTCTGCCCATAGCGTCCTCAGTCCTGCGGGGGTGAAAGTGACTTCTTTAGCACAGGGAAAAGTCGTTCTCTGATGTGTGACCCCAGGAGACCCCCAGTGCTTCCCTCTGTGATGAGCAGGGCAGACGGATTAAGTCTCCGCAAGACAAACTCCTTGGATCTGAGACAGTGATCAGGGAATCTAGATTCTTAGAATAAACAATCTCCATTTTCTTCTTCCAATTTAAAATCCAAACCCATATCTTCCATGTCATGCAGCCGCTGTACCCAGCCCAGGACAACTCAGTGGTGATGTTTCTTCCCCAGAAAATTTAGAATTCTCTAATTTTAGGCTAAATTTAAAGAATGCACTGTGCTCTCACAGATTCTACATCCCTGGATAATGTGTAGATTTGTATTATTTCCCTCCTTTGAGAAAGACAAATGAAAAGTTTTTTTTTTTAGACCAAATCAGAAATCCCAGATTTAAGACCAGCTTTGATCTCTCAGAGTCCAGCTTCCTGCCCTCTTCATAGACTCATACACCCATACGAATGATGAGCAGTATTTCCTAAAGTTCTTTACGAATTCTCAAGCACTCGCGTGGAGAGAATAATACAGTGACCCTCCAGATCCCCCACTAGGCTTAGTAACTGTAAGACTGCTGCAGTTGCTTCTCCTATACCTTTTTCTTTTCCACTGAAATATTTTAAAGCCAATCTCAGACATGATGTCATTTCATCTTAATATGCAGCTACTAGCCTTTTGAACGCAATTATGTTTATTGGAGAAAGTCTCAAAGTTTTGGTTAGCAGGAACTGCTGGTAGAAGTTAGGTTAATTGGAAAATTCTACATTGGGTGTCTGGATCCCTGAGTGATTAGTCTGTCTTTGAAGAGGGGGATAATGAAGAGGAAGCTTCATGGCTTCAGAATCTTGTTCAGTTAAGGACCTAGAATTCAGAGGCCAGGCAGCCCTGTGCGCGATCTCTCGGCTCACCACCTGTTGACCCCTCACTGCTACCTCTGTCTTTAAGCTTTAGAGACGGAGTTTTCATTGCCTCTTTTCTATAATGTACTTGAATGCTTTCACACATGGAAAAGTGATTTGATGTATTTTGCCCATTTAACGGACAAAGGGAATATGAAAATGAATGTTACTTACTGAACAAAAAAAACCGCCGCGGATCTTTGCTTTTATTTTCTTTAAGAGACGTCGTAATGTAGAACCTCTACAATTCTGTTACACTTTGCTGAATAATCTTGCCTCCTTTACATTTCTTTTCATGAGACAGGCTCCTTGATATTGGGCTTGGTCCGAGAACGCTTGTGTGTGTGAGCGTGTATGTCCTGGCTCATACGTTAGGATGACGAGGTATGAACTCATTCAGATCAAATTACAATTAATTTTAGATTTTCTTGCTTCCCTGTCATCTCTTTGATTTTTCCAATTAAATTTGTCTCACTTTTTCCTCTGATGTGGCTAGCCCTAGTTGCTTTAAATTTAGCAACGCGGGGACATTATAAAATTTAAAAATGGGTTGTTTAGAGAGTTCTTTCTTAGAAAGCCTGTGGATGAATTTGTGCTACACTAATATTGAATCAGAAGGAATGAAGAAAATACAGCTAAGTTTGGTACCTGGGGCAATCATTCTAACACTGGTTTCATCGTCACACCCCAAAATGCACTGGAGTAAAGAACAAAGTTCTCCGTAAAGAGGGACTGTCTTAAAGGGAAATGCTTTGTTTACATTAGGTATATTTTGCAAACACAATGCAGCTACTACCTGTAGAAATGGAGTAGTTTTCTGTTCTACTTGGAATTCACTAGGAGCTTTTTTTATGTGTGTGTTGCTTTATCCATTTCCATAAGTAACTGAATAAACTATGACGTTCAGTGCAATGGAGAAGACAAAGATGTATAAGGTACTCATATACCAAAGAACCTTTAATCCAGTTAAGGCACTGTGGACCATAGTTAACTATGACACAGGTAGTTTATGCCAAGGAATAGTAAGAGAAAGAGAAACAGGTCTCAGGGTGGGCTGGTCAAGGAAGCTGAGTTGTAAAGCAGCAATGGCTCACTTTCAGACCACTCCTAGCTGTCCAAGATCTAAATACTTGGTGTGTTGCCCAGCTAGTGGCACCATGTATGTTAAATGCATTTGCTTTCGTTTTGGTAAATTTCCTCTAAGATAACTTTAATGAGACATGTATAACTGCTTCTGTGTGCTGTTTGTTATTCTCTGCGTTTGTAACACATTGCATTATTCATTTCTGTGGATCTTGGACAGCAAAGTAGAATTGACTAATAAGGGAAATAATTAGTAACACATTGAGCCATACAAACAAATTCTATACAATTTCCTCTCCAAAGACTTGACTTCTACCTAAATATCAGTATTCAAAATGTCAAATGTTCAATATCTTTGATAAGTGCAGAAGATAGCAATGTTGCATGTTTTCTTTGTAACACACTGACCTATTGTGTTTTAAAATCTGGTGGTGTTTTGTTTTGTTTAACCTCGGTTTCATTCCAATTCGAATGTCCAAAACCAAATCCAAATCCACTTGACACCTAAACAATAGAATGTTACCCCAGTTTGTGATCCAAAGTGAAATTAATCCCCGACATGCGCACAGCTGAGCTGGCTGGCCCCAGTTTTACAGTCAACTGCCGACTTCACTTAGATTATGTAAACATGTATTGCAAAACAGCTCTGCCGGGAACCTCATAACTTAAACGATGTTCTCTGAAATGCAATTTGTCTTTTTATATAAGAGAAGAAATTAAATCAAAATTACTTTGGAGAAAACAACTGTGGAATTTTGTTTAATTGAATTTTGCGGGAAACGCTGCTGCCTACCAGCACTGGCCACAGGTTTGGGAGAGGCTGGGTCACTCTTCTCCAGTGGCTTTGTGCCTGCGTCCGGCATCTCTCTATGGTACTAATTCTAGGGAAGGGCATACATTACATTATATAAGTCGAATTCTAAGTGACCATCCCTTTGGGACAGTAAAGTATTGTGACCTCTGCGCCTTAGGGCATTGAGAATGAATCTGACACTTGGATGAGTTTAGCCCAGTTTCTGATGAAGGCGTGGTGTCATTCTTCCAGAGCCACTTAAGCCAACAAAGAACTCTAATTTGCAGCCTTCCCCAAGTAAAATGACTTCCTTTCCCATTGTCATTTGTCTTGATTTCCAAATTCTAGTGCAAACATAAAATAAGACTGTGTCTACTTAAAAGATTAAAATGTCTCCATTCCCCTTATTTATCTCAGACTGTCATGTAAAGGACAGGTTGAAGATGAGGGAGAACTCACCAGATTGCTCGTCCCTTGGCTTTCTCAATCTCATCCAGTAATGTTTGATCACAACTGACACTCAGTATATAATTGTTTAATCAATCAGATAATTAACTATTGAGGATTCTATTTTAAGAGAAAACAGTAAGTTAATTCCCATTATCTGGGATTTTTTACATACCAACCACTCCCTCCCCCCCCCCCCAAAAAAAAAAAAGGGGCAGTGCAGGATTGGTGAATCCATCAGTATTTCTGTTCCTACTGTATGCCAGACCTTGTGCTAAGTGCTGCCCATAGAGCAGTGAACAAGCCAGATGAGGCCCTGCATCCTGTACCCTTGCTGCTGAGCACCAGCAACTGGGGCCTCTCCCTAGGTGGCATGAACGTGCCAGGCTTTTGCCCTGTCCTGCTGCTGTCCACAAAGCACTGTGATGTAGCCACTGCATACGCAGATTTTGAAGAAATGAGTGTAGGTCAGCAGTATAATAAATGGAGTTTGGTAAAATGAGCTATGTTTGCAAGTTAAAACATTTTAAAATCCTTAGTTAATTATACTCACATAAAATGATTTGGACAAAAAGCTGGAAGGTGCCACAGAAGAACAAACATGGGTGAGGAGCTAAGGTGATGGAATCATTTACGTTGCTAGGCCATTGTAGCAGATGTTTCCAAGAAGATGCCTAGAGTAAATCATGGAAAAGACAGCTTGTGGAAATGCATTCATATCTGCACTCAGCCCAGGAAGTAAAGCCCTTACAAAGAACCTAGAATGGATGAGAGAGAGAGAGAGAGAGAGAGAGTAGACCTTGGCTACACAGGGGCAGATTCAGGTACCTGCAGCTGATAGAGTCTGGAGTTTCCTCTTTTAGGAAAATCGTAGTGAATTAGGGACCTCGAGTTAGGAAGGAGCCCGTACAAGTGAGGAGCCCTGCCTGTAGCTTTTTTAGCTCTGAGGTCAGTCATCCACAAACCACTCTGGGGCATGAGGAGGGAATGTTGGAAAGGGGAAAGGAAGGGCACCGCTTTAGATACGTCAAGGGTTGGGTTTTTCTGCTGCCTCTAAAAACTGCAGCTTTTGCCAAAATGGAGCTTTTATTTCTGGAAGAGTCAAATTGTGTTTAGTAAAATAGCATGGAGTACAAATTCAGTAATGATTAATTTGAGGTCAAACTAGGATATTTTTCTATTTTAGATGGGAGTTTTTATCTGGAAAATGGATCTTGCAGGATTTAAAATTTTTTTTTTAATCTTTCCAGAGATAAAGAGTTCAGAAATACTGTTTAATTTTCAGCTAGTCTTGCTTGGGCATGAGGAACCTTTTAGGAGGTCTTGAAGCAGAGAACTGCCGAGAGCAACCTTGGAATCAGGCTAACGTTTATTTATCCTACACCTTTTTTGGTGAAGGATCTATTTCTACTACACTAAAGTAAAATCAATTTTAAAGGAGTAACTTGAGGAATTTTTAGAAAGCAAATTAGAAATGTAGGACACTCCTTGAAGAGCGGAAACTCAAAACTCGATTCAAATAAACCAGCAGTCACTCCTTCCCGCGGTAGTGTCCCTCACTGCAGGTGGATAAAACCCAGGCGGGCAGTGACCGGTTACTGATGCCTGTGGATTCCCAGGCGCCAAGGGAGCGGCATCCTTCCCGTGCTGCCCGGGCTCTGTATGTCATGTGAGACTCGCCAGGTCCCTCCTCTGTAGAATCCTAAAGTGCCCCAGTGGAAGAATGAGCAAGGGCCTTTGCAGCAGAGAGAAAACTGTGGATAAACGTGGAGAGAAAAAGCGTTCAGAAATGAACGACCGATACGTGCTCCAACAAGGTTAAACTCCAGAGAGATTACGCGAAGTGAAAGAAGCCAGATGCAAAAGGCTATGTGTTGCGTGATTCATGTAGAAAGGGCAAATTTATAGAAAAAGTAAAACAGTGGTTTCCTAGAACTCGGATTGAGAGCAGAGTTTAACTATAAATGGGCAGGGAAAGCGAGGCCCTAAGGAGGGTGTGGTGATGACCGTGCTCTGTACAGTCACCAAAGTCATTGACTGGTGAACTTACATTGGTTACATTTTATGGAATGTAAGTGACCCCTTACAGCTGTTTATAAAAACATCAAAGTTCAACCTCACTGGTAGAAAAGGAAAAGTAGTATCTTCTGCTTTCTACTTGGCAAATACTAAAGATCATACTAGTACTCTGGCATTGGTGTGGAAATGGACATTTATACAGAAGCGGTGGGCGTAAAAGTGGGAATGGACTCTCTGAAGTTAATTGGGCAGTATGTACCGAAGCCTGCAAATGCTGATTTCACTTTCACTCGTTTCCAGAAGTAAATTCTAATGTAATAAGTAGGTACCCGGGGACATGCACGCGCAGGCTAGGCTGTTCCTCTTTACTGTTTATAATGGGAAAATTAGAAACAACTTAATATCTAACTATAGGAGATTAAATTATGCAATATCCATTTGTTGGAGGTCTGTGTGGCTAGTTAAAAAATGATACTGCAGATGTATATATGTCATGAATGTCTGAAAAGTGTTTATAAGTGAAGAGATTACAATTAAATATATGTAGATCAAAACCGTTTGTTTCCACAGGCACGTAGAAAAAGGGCTGGGAGTTTATATTACAAAACGAACTGGGTGCTAGAACCTAATGAGTGTTTTTTTTTTATTGTCTTGTTTACTTGTATTTTCTAAAGTTTTAAAGTAAAGTGAATGGATCATGTTTTATGGGGGAGAAGCAATAAAAGTTCTTTACTTTAAAAAGTATCTTTCTCTGGTTTCTCATCACTTAAAACTATTAAGGAGCCTTTGTCACATCAATAGGAGCCTTTTATACTCCCTTAGAGCAGTGGTTGGGCTTTTACTGTTCCTTATTGGTAACGTAATGACGGCAAACCTGGCGTCGCCTCCGTCCCGCTGATCCACAGCTTTGAGCTGCTTTGACGGTGTCCACGGACATTTCAGCCTTTTTTCTTTAGTCTACATTACAGAGCCCTTTCAAACAGCTCTTGTGGTTTTCAGGTTTGGATGGGCCTAAAGAACAAAACCTGAACTCCTTAGGTTGGTAATATCCGGGACCCTTTTGTTACTGTCTTTCTGTCCAACTTGGTTTCATGCTGGCTGACACGGAACACTGGCCCTGCTCCTCATCTGTCAGCTTTTGTGCATCGTACGCTGTGGGTCCAGCACGTGCTTTTTCCTTTGTCTCTTCCAAGATCCTGCTGAGAATCACCCTCGACTGCCTCCCCGTAGTTGAGATGTGACCTGTGTGGTGCTCTCCACACTTCAGGCAGGTGTATGTCATGGATTTGATCACATTACATCATCATTACTGGCTTGTGCTTGTTTCTCCAACTAGGTTAGCAGCTTCCTGCTTTGTCTTACTTATTTCAAAGGCAGAGTGACAGAAAGGGAGAAATGGAGAGGGAGAGAGAAGCAATCTCTGTTCATTTGCTCATTCACTCCCCACATGGCTGCAACAGCCAGGGCAGGGCCAGGCTGAATCCAGGAGCCAGGAACTCCATCTGGGTTTTCCACACGAGTGGCAGGGTCCCAAGTGCTTTGGCCGTCATCTGCTGCCTCCTAGACACATCAGCAGGGAGCCGGATCAGAAGTAGAGACAGGACTCAATCCCAAGTGCGGTTTTTTTTTTTTTTTTTTTTTTTACAGGCAGAGTGGACAGTGAGAGAGAGACAGAGAGAAAGGTCTTCCTTTGCCGTTGGTTCACCCTCCAATGGCACACCACGCCTATCCAAAGCCAGGAGCCATGGGGTGCAGGGCCCAAGCACTTGGGCCATCCTCCACTGCACTCCCGGACCACAGCAGAGAGCTGGCCTGGAAGAGGGGCAACCGGGACAGAATCCGGCACCCCGCCCGGGACTAGAACCCGGTGTGCCGGCGCCGCAAGGCGGATGATTAGCCTAGTGAGCCGCGGTGCTGGCCCAAGTGCTCTTGATACAGAATGCAGACATCCCAAGCAGTGGCTTAGCCCTCTGCACAACAGTACCTAACCTAGGAACTTCTCTTTACTACAGAAGTGCTTGCAGTAAATCTCAGTTGAATGCACAGAAAAAGACCTTCCTGCCTTTAAGGGACCTACAGGCTAGTAAGGGAGATGGATACCTGTCTAATAAAAGATGTGAATGTGGGCCGGCATTGTGGCACAGTGGGTTAAGCCACCGCCTACAGTGCCAGCATCCCATATGAGCGCTGGTTCAAATCCTGGCTGTTCTACTTCTGATCCAGCTCCCTGCTAATGCTCCTGAGAAAGCAGCAGAAGATGGCCAACGTGCTTGGGCCCCTGCACCCATGTGAGAGACTTGGAAGAAGCTCCTGGCTCCTGGCTTCCGCCTGGCCAGCCTGGACCATAGCAGCCATTTGGGGAGTAAACCAGCAGGTGAAAGATTGATTGTGTGTGTGTGTCTCTATGTGTGTGTATGTGTGTTCCCTCTCTAACTCTGCCATTCCGATAAATAAATTTTTTTTAAAAAAATGATATGAATAAGAACATGGAGAAGACCATGATTAATATCTGGGTGATTAAGGAGTTGCTTCCCAGAGTAGAGTCCATTTGGATTTGGATTAGACTTATTTTGACAAGTTGAGAGAGGAGAAAGAAGGAAGAATGCCTTGAGTTCATTCTATAGAAAAGTGGAGATGACTCACCCAGTTGCACTCTGACTTTAACCCTCCCGCAACGCTCACTGCCCCAAGTTCCCTTTCTTCTCATCTCATTGTGCACAACAGACAAGAAATGTCCTCGTCAGAATGTGAACTGGCACTCTGATCTGGCAAATGGTTTGCTACCTGGCCAGGTAAATGGGTGGTAAAAAGAGTGCTAGAGAGATGCAGAAGAACAGGTTTCTAGTTGTGGCTTTGCCCTAAACTGGCTGAATAGACTGGATATGTGACTCATCATTTCACTTGTTGATCCTCCTTTCCTTTGCACAATAGAAGTGGTTGTAATAATGTCAGTCCCTCCCTTACCTAACTCATAGCTGTTTCGAAGAATTTAGAACTGGAGACAGTGTTATCGCAAGCAGATTAGGCCAATTTGAGTCCTGGCTACTCTGCTTCTGATCCAGCTTCCTGCTAATGCACCTGGGAAGGCAGCAGAAGATGGCCCAAGTCCTTGGGTCTCTGCCACCCATGTGGGACACCAGGATGGAGTTCCTGGACCCTGGCTTTGGGCTGGCCCAGATGTAGCTGTTGCAGCCATTTGGGGGAATGAACCAGTAGATGGAAGATCCCTCTGTCACTCTGCCTTTCAAAGCTTTTAAAAAAAAAATGGAGAACATACTGCATGTAAATGCACTTTATTAATCTGATAACAGTGTACCAAAACTCAGTTTTAGGGTTGTGTCATGACATTCCTGCCAACAGATCCATGCCCCTTCTCCTGGGGAGCTTTACTGCTCGAGAAGAGAGAAGCATGGCAGTGAGTCGGGGAAGGAAATGCTGCCTTCCTTGTACAATCAGTTCAGTGGCTTTCAAGGGAGTGTAGGGTGCAAAACCTCTGGAAGTCATCCAGACACAAAACTTTGATATATTTAATTTCATCACACAAATCAGGACTGTTCACACAAATCAGGACTGTTCAGTTCCTAATTTTACTGACAAAATAGTATGCAAATAAGGAGGTATCCTATTCCCTACTTTCTGCCTCATCTGAGCCCAAGGTGGAGTCACTTAAGCTGGTTACTCACTGGGGTAATCAGAGTCCTCCCTAGAAACCGAACCAATAAAAGGGACATTTGGATGTAGGTGAGAGAGAAAGGGTGTGTGTGTGTGTGTGTGTGTGTGTGTGTAAAGAGAGAGTGATTTATCCTAAGGAATTGACTCACAGCTGTAGGAGCTGGCAGGTCCAAACTCTGCAGGGCTGCCTTGCAGCCTGGACACCAGGCAAAGAGCCGAGGCTGTCTGCAGGCCGAGTACTGTCTGCCTCGCCGGGACCTTAGTCTTCCTTAAGAGCTGCAGTGACTGGATGAGACCTCCCTCCTTGTGCAGGCTAATCTGCTTGACTCAGAGTCTCCTCATTGAGTGTTCACCTTACCTAAAATATTTTGTACGTTTTCAGCTCCCACTACTTTCTAACACTTTGACTACAGCTCCAGAAATATTTGACCCAATAGCTGGGTGTCAGGGCTAGCAGCAACGCTGACATTAAGTTCAAATTTTTTATTTTTTATTTTCACTTTACTTGAAAGACAGAGATGGACAAAGAAGGAGAGATCTTCCACCCACTGGTTCACTTCCCAAATGCACATAACAGCCAGAGCTGGGCCAGACTGAACCCAGGAGCCCAGAACCCAATCTAAGGCTCCCATGGAGGTGGCAGGGACCTAGGTACTTGAGCCATCACATGCTGCCTCCCCAGGTGCACATTAACAGGAAACTGGATTAGCAGCAGAGCCAAGACTCAAACCAGACACTGTGATATGGATTGCAGGCATCCCAAGTGCTGAGCCAAATGCCTCCCCGACATAAAATTAACCATCCCACTTGCCACCTTACAAACCGTAGAAGCGTGTTGCAAGCAATTTCCCCTTTCTGTCCTGTCGGTTATCCAGGAGTACCCGAAATTGTGTGACTGTTCAGGGAGAAGCTGAGCATGCTGTGTGTTGGCAAGATCAGTGGATTAGTATCTCCGAAGCACTATTAGGTGAGGCCCAGTTGGGGCAACTGGCGTGGACAAGCCGGCCCCAGGCTGGAACAAGCTGACCCAGTGGAGCCTCTGCTGAGGCCATCTCTCAAGCATGGCCGCACACTGTGCCCTTACAAAGCAGTGCTGATCCGTGCCCACTGGGCTCGGTACCTCCTAGGCCTCAGGTTAACTCCAGGTCAGGTCAGGTTTAGGTTTCGCTCCCTTGGGAATGCCCAGAGCCTGGCCTCTTTCCCTTCCACCCCAGAAGCCCGACACAACCAGGCAGACCCCTCCTGCTTGCTCACCTCCTGGGGAACATGAGAGCTCCCCCATGGCCTGGCAGTGTCTCCTCATCCTTAGTCCCTGAAGACTGTCATAGAGTCACTTTCCCCTAATTCCATCTTTTTCTTTCTGCCGCTTAGCACTGATTGGCAGACAAATATCAGCAGATACTGAAAGTCTGAGAAGCATTCACTGGGATAATACAGAGAAGAAACTCTGTCCCTTCCATTGTTTCCTGTGAAGTAGGAAACACCACCACTCTACATTTTAGCCCTGGACATATGGCTTGATAAACACAAAGCCAAAATGGATCCGCGTCCTAACCCCTCCCCTTTATCCAATCAGCACCCTGTTCTTTGAGACCCAGCCACTCAAGGGAGCTGGGGACGTGGGGAAGAAAATACCCAAGTACACACACACTTCAGAGTCTCCAGAAACAAGCCCACAGGTGTTCAGATGCCGTACTTCTTGGTTTTCTTAAAGAACAATACTAATTTTTTTAAATCTTGATAAGATTCTGCCTATAGGCCAGAGACTCCTTACCCACATCAAAATATCTTGTACCCTAAAAGACAGAGAAAGGAATCTGCTTCCATAGGCAATATATGCCTGATGGAAACGAGGGAGAGACACACTAGGAAATTTAGAACCGCATTAAGAAAAAAGAACACAGTTCCACTGTCATGAATGTTCTAGTGTCCAGAAGGAAAAATAAATGGAAACACGATTTCCTTAACATAATATTTCCCAAACTTTTAATACCTTTTAAATGACTGAATACTATAAGCTGCTTTATAATTTAATTAGACATCTGTTGTTAGGTGTTTTTTTCCCAACTTTG